ACAGCTCTAGGAAAAGTGCCTAAAGTCATTATATTTTGGTGATTTAAAAATAAATTAACAGAGCTTTTCAAAGATATGGGCACTAAAGCTAAGTGGAAAAGAAAGCTGAAATGAGAAAAAGGTTCATCCTTACCACAGCAGAAGGACTTTCTGTCCCAAGTAATTTCTGTTTTCCGGGTGAATGAGTTTGCATCCTGGCTACACTAATGCAATAGTTCTATGTATGAGTAATTTTAGAGTTCCACTCAGCAATTCCAATTCCACTGATAAAGCCTTCTTGTAGATGAAATAGTATGCTTACCTTTATCAAAATGCATTTCCATATGAGAGTAAATTGTGACAAACATAAAAAAAATCACTACTAAAAATGCTATAAACAAACCATGACTTTCTTCATGGCCATTAGAGCTTTCCGTAATCACATATTACATGGTTTAGGTTTAATTTCTGGTTACCCAATAACCTTGAGCAGTTTTTTTGTTTGTTGTTTTTAAGACATGAGGCATTATCCAGAAAGTACACTGCCTGCAAGCCTAATGTTATAGAGCAGGAAGGCTAATAATTTCTCTTTCTCCGAATGCATTTCTCATTTATCTTGCTGGAGGTTCAACAGAGTTGAGAGGATGTGACTCTCACCGTGAATCTCATGACCTGGCTCTAAGATCTGATGTTTTGGGTGCCCATTTGTCACTAGTTCATGTTTAAATATCCTCAATAATTTAGATATCTGGGGCGAAAGTGGGAGATAGTGAGCATCAAATCTACTTAGGAAGGTTACTTAAAGTTTCAAAGTTTGTCTGAAGCCTATGTATTCTCCATAATTCACCTAATTTCTTTTGCTGGTGACTGACTGTTGTGCTACTTGTTTTCCCCTACTTTAACTCTTAAGAAATATCCTCAGTTAACTAAGTTTTGTCTACAGTCCAAAAAACCCACCTATTTTTCTATATTTACCATCCATGAGACACACTGTCTTCCCTTCTCTTTTGTGCCCCCTCTCCCCATTGGGCTTGATGATAATATTTGGACTACTTGCTCTATCTTTTGTTTCTTTTCTTAATGTAACACCCCATCCCTACCGCCCCCACCACCACCACCCTACCTCCATTCCTTGCATGGAAATCTCTATGTCGGGTATGGCAAGTACCTAGTAGATATTTCACACTACACTTTCCAGTCACTGAAACTAGCCCATGAAACCATTCTAGGTATAAAATATTTCTTCTTTTCCATTTTAAATTATTTTTAATATAACACACTTCATATAAATTAGCACATTGCCAAACACACAGCAGATGATAAATGTTTATTAAACTAAAAATTCTAAATCATGAATCTGGCTCTCACAGCTTTGTGTAGATACAAAGCTTAGACTATTGTCACAGGTTTTGTGAACACATGAGAAATATGTGATAGGGTGATATAGATTTATACAGTCAAGGGAACATACAGGTACTATAATCAATAGATAATTTGTCCGCACCTGAATCAATTTCCTATTGAGTATGGATATATTATAACCAGGAACTCGTCCCTAGAGGCTTTAACTAAGGCAATTGAAAGAAAGAAAAATGAACCTAATATGTCCCAACAGATTTCTGGGTCAATCCTATGACCCAAACATATTTAATCTTCTAGAAAATAAGTCAGGTACAGAAATAACTACTCACCTCTAAAAGTGGATAAAGATTTTTTTTATATGTACAACAGCAATTTCATTTATTTTATTGTGAGTATATGTCTACAGACCATGACTAGCTGTTAAAAGCATTTTACTGAATCTTATACTTTTTTAACATGGATGTTCCCAAATAATAAGCCAAATGACATTGTTTCTAAAGACGCATTAATTGAATATGTCAAAAGTATATTATTTTAATAGACACAATCTAAATAGAAGGTATTAGAACAAAAACCAAATGTTTTCTTTCAATTAAAAAAAATGCTAGTTATATGGAATGAAAATGACTGCAGCAACTGGAGCTCAAATTTTCCAAATGCTCTGAGAGTAACAGAAACTTTCAGAGGCCTGATTCTTAAATCAAAATATTTACATTCATGGGCTATCACTGTACACTGGTTGAGATTTCCTCTAACGTCTTCCTAAGACCTTCCTACATTCCCAGCTGTGCCCTCATGTTTTCCTACCTTTCTGCCCTTAAAGCATGGAGATACTCATTTTTTAACTTCTTATTTTAAAAAAAATCAGGAAAAAAAATCACAAAAACATCACAAATAATGAAATAAAACCCTTTACCCAGATTCTCCATATGCTGATATTTTACCAATATTGTATTATCTCACTCTATATATGCACAAATACACATACACATATAATGTATGTTATATATAGATATATACTTGCTAACAAATATTTGAAACTAAGTTACATGCTTTCTCTTTACTCCTACATACTTCAAGCTGTATTTCTCTAAAAATAAAAACATTCTTTCATATAACCACAATATAAATTACCAAAACCAAAGAATGCCTTTTAATATGATGACTAGGGTTAAATCATGCATTTCTAGTAGGAATACCACAGAAGTCCTTCTCAATGCATCTAATGCACATTACTGGTTTTGCTATCTTTGATTAATTAGTTTAGGAGTTGTCTGCCAGTTTTTTCCACTGTTGTCATTCTTCCACTTGGAGTTAATAAACAATTTGTGGGAAGTTACTTCTAAACTATATAAATATCCACTTTCTTATCAAATTTTCATCTTTAGTATCTATTCAGGATTCTTTTTACTTATTTTTATATTTCTTCTTTCATGCATAGTATTTTCTCAAGGTAAACTGATAATATCCTTCTTTTCTCACATAAAATATTTTGTAATGGTTTGGGAAATTCCATAGAAATGGAATTTTTGCTGTAATAACTTTATTCATCAGTGTTATGAGAACTTTGTAGGAAAAAAATAAAATATCTATTCCTTCTTTGACTTGTGTATTGAATCATAACTATCAATTCTGATGCAATTAAATTAGTCCCATAGTTCAGCAAAAAAATTTAAATGAAAGGTCCATTGGCTAAAATGTACTAACAGTAAATACTCAAGACAATATCAATTTGATAAATTTCAAAATGGACTTCGAGTGTGAGAAAGTTAGAGATGACATGCTAATGCTGTTATTTAAATTCACAATAACAAAGGTAGACTTAAACTACCTTGGCATATTGAAGTTAAGTTACACTATTAAGTTAAGATATACATTTCTTCCTGCAAAAGGCTTCCTGAGTGATGCTCTCGATTTAAAATCAAATGTTAATGATTAATTACTTTGCACACTTGTTTGTCTTGTCAGAGTGACTGTTTCTTTGTTTTACAAATATTTATTTGAATCATAAGACTTTCTATTTTATTTTATATTATCTCTCCATCTCTCAGGATTTCTTCCCGGACTTCAACTCTGAGAATGTAAAATTCATTCATGGGCGTCAAATAGAGAGGTGTCATAGGAAAAGTGATGGAAATCCTACTGGGTTGAAAACATGAAATTATTCACCTGAATCAGAAATATATTCATTCAGTTCTCTTGAAATCACCTAAAAACTACTTGTAGTTGTATTTTCTCAGAGGTTCTCAGTAGTATGTGGTTAAGAGTCTTCAGCAGTAAAGAGAATATATTACCGCAAAGATTTTGATGGAAATGCTTTAAAACTATGTTCCATAGTTTTAAAGTTTCTCTCAATCAGTAAGAAGCACCATATACCTGAAAAGCACTGGCCTTCAACTTTGGCTGTGCATTGTAACCACCTGGCTCCTATTCTGCACTTCTGATATTATTGGTCTAGTAAGTGGTGTGGCATTCAGGGCTTTTCAAAGCTCCCCAGATGACTCTAATGGGCAGTCTAATGGAAACCACTGCTGTAGAAAGGCTTTATTTTCCCTTAAGGCCTAAGATATAAAATTCTAGACTCATGACTTATGTAGATTTCCATGACTCATTATTCTTTCAAGATCTCCATATTACTGTATTCCTACACAGAGGAGGATAGAAAAAAAAATTTAAGTTGCTTTGTACACTAGGGGTTGCTAAAAATATTGCAGAAAATAATGAGCTACAAATATCTTATTTGACTGAAGTTTCACCTTAGAGAATGATGAATTAGAAATCTCGCCTGTGCCCATTCAAGTTCACCATGCATATCACAGCACTGCTTTCCCCTTACATTTGTTTCCATCACTACTGTGGTTTCTGATTTTGACAGTTGACTGAGCTGGTGCTGGGATAGTTATAATACTATGATTTACTGAGTGTCTACTAGCTACCAAGTACTTTATACATGACTTCTAAACATATTTTAACAGAAAATCATCATTGGGACATTTTCACTGTTGTCTAGTCCAAGCAATGTAGCCCATTACTTCCCTTGATAATTGTTACTGGTTTAGAGGTGACCATTTATTCTAGGGTCTCCTGAAATGAGTAAGTTATGTTCCATATGTAGGGTAAGTAAAGTATCACGCTTTTCCACCCTCCTGCCATCAAATTGAATGCATGCCTGATGGCGGGCACCTGGAGTAGGGTGTGGGCATGCATAGATGGGATTCACCTGGGCTGAGAAGGGGCTTAGAAGGGCGGAGTCACTGGGATGCCAGCAGAGCAGAACAGCAGAGAGAAAGGGAGAAGGCCGGAGAGTGCAAAAAGACTGAGTACTCACCGGGGGCTGGGAGGCCTGCCAGTCTCCAGGCCCCCCAGCACCCCTGCCTGCTGTGTACCTGGTAAATCCCAATAAAGTCTGCAAAAGCCACCAAGGCCTCCAGGACTCCTCCTTTACCCTGTCTGCTAGGGTCATAGAGATCCTGCCCTGTGCCCTCCTGCTACTACACCATAGCTGAAAGATAGGTTAACTCCCTTCTGCTGAATGTGAATAAGAAGGCATGGAGCCTCTATTTTCACAGGCTGCCATTTCACGACATGAGGTATAAGAGCCTTAACCTGAAGCCAATGCTGAAAACACAGAAGGTTCCCAGTCATCAGTGGGACCAATATTACCACAGGCAAGTTGACAACTGCTTAATTAGGTGATTTCAAGGTTCTAGAAGGACTCCCCCTTTCCCAACAATTTCTTCTCATTCATAGGTCCTGAAATTCCCTAAAGGAAAGGAGAAAGAAAGAAATTTTTATTCTATATTTACAATGAAAATATAAGAAGCAAATGGCTGACTTAGTGGTCAACTGGAGAACATTTTCTGGAAGATGTTTTAAAGGTACATATATAAAGGAATGGCAGGAAGGAAATCTAGAGGAGGTAGGAAAAGGGAAGCTGGAAAGGGAAGCTGGAAAGGGAAGCTGAGGTTTAGTTGGTGCTATAATGACAGACTGGAATCTCCTCCAGCAATATATTCTGAGATGGTTTACATATTATCCTACCTGAAAGACTGCAGGAGATCTAAATTAAACCTCAGGGATTTTTCTTACATTATTTTTTTCTTTTAAGTGTACATTTTTTACAAATTTTAACACCTGTATAGATTTATGTGACTACCATCACATAGTGGATTAAAAAAATAGTTCCATCACCTCAAAAAATAAATAAGTGCTATCTCTATCTTTGTAGCCATCTCTTTTCTCCCATCTATAACCTTTGATCTGTGTTCTAGCACTTCAATTTTGTTTTGTTTTTTTTTTTGTTTTTTTTTCAGAATGTCAAATAAATGGAATATAGTATGTAAACATTTGAGGCTAGTTTTCTTTCACTAAGCATAATGTCTCCCTAGTCTCTGCTCCAGACAGCCATGACTCCCTGTGCGTCTCTCTCCCCAGTCTTGGGGGCAATGGTTTCCTCTGTGTCCTCCCCACTCACAGACCCAAGGAGAATGTTGATTTTTTCAGTCTGTTCAGATTTTCACTTGTTAGGATGGAGTGGTGATTCCAAGCTTCTTTATAGATAAAACTGGAAGTTCTGCGGGAAGCCTCTAACGTTTCCATCCGTGATCCCAATTCAAATGGTACAAGTGAAAAAAGGGATCCCCTGTGCACATTCCTACAGCTTACCTTGTTTACCTGCCAATCCATCAGGTTACACCTACAAATAGCCAAGTGGGCTGACGTGAACTGAGATAGCGGATGATAATAATTGCACCCAATTATTTTCCAGTGCTCATAACGGAAAAAAAGAAAGGGAATGAGCCAAGATTATGCTTCCAAACTCCAAGGCCACAAACTGTTGCCCTTTACTCTGCTTTGTCAATGGTACAACATCACTCCTTTTCTACACCCCCAATATGTTTTAATAATTAGCATTTGTATTTGCTAAAAAGGCTTTCTTTGTAGTTATAGTCAAATTTCTCTGTATGAATTCATACAGAAATCAATATAAACAGTGCACATCATTCAAACTCATGTGTGAGACCCCAGTCCTTAGTCCTAAGGGGTGTGACACCACCCCCTTAGAGTCCACATTTTGTCACAATGAATGAGTTGAGCTGGGTACTTCCCACCCCTCACCTTACTTTGCTTTTAATCCCCTTCTTTAGTGAAGATAGACAACAGGGAACTCCTATTTTTCCTTCCAGAAATCATATTTTTCCTCCACTACTACAACTCTGTAATTTGGTTATCATGATTGTAGTAAGAGTAGAGCTTTGGGATTTGTTTCTGCATATTTGAATAAACAAATTAAAATAAACCTACCAACTGGAGGGTTCCTTTCTGCCAATGAGTAACTATAGACAATCACTGTATATGTTTTACACCTAAAATATCAACTTCTAAGAATTTGAACATAGGGAAAAAGTGAGTTAACCCCTAACATGTTTCTTAAGCTTATTTTGCCTTCTTGGGTGATTTATAAGGCTTCTCTGAAATCCTACAGCTTCTTTATCATAACCATCAATCACTTTTTGGGAACAGATGTGCAGAGCTGACAGTTTGTAGAGAAATGTCAGATGATCAAGACTTGACTCTTCAGGCTGTGTTTCTGGCACCAGGAAAAATGTATTTAAATATCGACATTATGACAACCCCTTCATCCGAAATACACCCTTATTCCCTGACCTGCTGAAACCTTTATTGTGCCTACAGTCAACTCCCAGCAGGATCTCAGGTTTGAGATGCTGTTATTACCATTTGGATCATTTTATTGGAAAAACATGATGATGAGTAAAACTTATATGAGTGTGGTAATAGTAGCTGTCCACATCCTACTATGTATACAGAGGGAAGAGATATGAACTTACCTTCCCCAAAGAAGCCCTAATTCCCTTGGTGATGAGCCGCTGCTTCCTGCTCCAATTGCTCAAACAGGAGCATGTCTCATCTATTTCTTATCATCCAGGCATGATTTGCTGAGAGCCAAAGATATCTTGAATTTCATTTATATCCTAAATGATAGAAGTTGAAAAGCCTATGGACACTATTATTCACGCTTACCAGTACCATTTGGTGGTGACACCAGCACCTACTCATCTGCCAAAACATTTCCTACTTAGATGTTTTTTCAGCCTTTCTTTCCTACTCACATCAATTGCATATACCCATACCCATCTCCCGCCATACTTCATCAAATAGTATTCAGAGCTTAGGAACTGGATTGTAGATTCTTTGGGAAAATTATTTAATCCTTTTGAGCCTCTATTTCCTGTAAAATGGGGGTAATAACTCTAACTTGCAGAAGCTCTCTGTCTGGAACCTAGGAGGAATTCCAGAATTGGAAACTATCTTTGGCAGTACGTCTTGATTGTTCTAATAATTAAAAAGACCCACATCCCAAGTGTCTTCTCTTCTGGACTTCATGAAGCAGAGTCCTATTAACCACCTGGATCCATCACAGGACGCACCAGAACATGCTCAAATCATCTTGTAACTTATCAGACCTGCTCTTTAGCAGTTGATCTAAAACTTAACCAGCATTTAGCACAATGGTTGGTGGGATCAGTCCAAGTTCAAAGGAAAAAAACTTGAAGAAACAGAATTTAATATAAGAATAACAAAGATGTAAACCTGTTTTACCTCAATAAACATAATTTGGGGGAAAAAAAAGAGAAGAGGATGTTCATCTCATTATAAAATTAAAAAAAAGTTTTCAGGGGATGTCAGATTTTAAATAAATAGAATCATGATTTAATGATGATATTATTTATTTATAAGATGGCTAAATTGTGAAGGCATTAAGATGTGTGTTGACTTCATATATACTCACTGAAAGGTTTGGTGTGGTAAAGAGCCAGGCCAAGTTTTCTCAAAGGCGGGGAAAATTTATTGCACCCCAGGGTGAGATTCACCAACCCAAGGTGGGGGTCAGTGAAGGCTTGTCCATTGTCAGGGGAAGGCAGGTTTTTATAGGGTGGGGAGAGGGAAACCTGGCTTGCAGTTGGGGGAACCAGTTTGAGGAAGAACAGAGTTGTTTTCTGATGGTATCAGCCGACCCTCATTCTCACCCCTATGTGGGCTTCCTCATTCTCACCCCTAGGTGGGCTTTTGCATTCCTGTGCCCTGCATGGACCTTTCACTGGAAGTTTCTCTTCCTGGCACAGTAGGTGTTTCTCTTAGAACTCTATATATGGCAGAGCTAAAAGGGCTCTTGTAGTCCCACAGCCAAGGAGAGGACTACATGCTTCCTGTCAATGGTTGTAATTCTACTGGTCTTTTCTTCTCTGGCTTCCCTGCTCTGGGGAAAAAATACCAAACATGAACTAACATAGCTTCTGTGTCAGAGTATCATCCTTCCCCATGTAGCAATCTCATCTGAGCTAATTAGTTTATAGAAACACATGTTAAGTTAGGCCAGAATGTTTGTAATTTTTAATTTAGATGCCTGCAATCATTCTTGTCTCTTTTCCTAAGCCTTCTCTTCCTACTTAGGATACAAGGTCAAGTAGTTTTGCTGTTTCAGGGCTTTCAACCAAAGTTCCTTGCAGGCTTTGATGATTAGTTTTACAGATTTAGAAACTTAAAAAAAAAATTCAACTCACAGAGCTTTTAGTCTCTGAAAGGGGGACTCACCTAAGCAAAACTAACAATAGATTTATAATAGCTTGCCTATGTATAAATTTATGGAGGATTCAGAAACAGCAAAATAGCCATCTGATAATCAATGATTGGCAAGCCCCCCAGTAAGGGCTAATCCTACTAGGAACAGCCGAGAAAGTTGTTTGGGCATGTAGCATCAGAATGATACATATCAGATATCCCTAAGGCAGGGGTTCTCAGCCAGGAATGATTTTGCACCCTCCCCAGGGCATTTGGCAATGTCTGAAGACATTTTTGGTGTCACCATTGGTGGCAAAGGAGTGCTACTGGCACCTGGTAAGTAAAGACCAGGGATGCTGCTGAACAGTGCTCAGGATAGACCCAGAACAAACTATGAGACTAGTGCTGAGGTTGAGAAATTGGCCTTAAGAGGTAGTTCTGTCTGAATCCTATACCTCTTTCATCATTTCTCTCTTCTCTGTATATAGTCAAAACACAATAAAGCACAACAAACAAAACTACCCGATAAATCAAATTAAATGATTAATTTTCCTATGGGGCCAACAAAATGCTGTCAAGTGCCCCAACTGTTCCTCAGAACAAGCGATGAATTCTTTCTGGTACATTTTCTCCTTCTTACAGGTGAGGGGTGACAGCATCATTTCAGAAATTATTTTTCCTCTTATGAACCATTTGCTTGAAAGGAGAGCATGATCTGGGACGAAAATCTTAAAGTTCTCATCAAGTCATGAAAGGGAATAAAGCACTCACCCTGGGCAAGATGAATGTTCAGAGAACTGTCCACAATAAATGATAAATACTGTTAAATATCTCATTAAAGCTTCAAAGGATAGGAGACAAGCTTTTTAAAGAGCGTTCTGCTGCAGGCAGGAGATGCAAGTTTCCCTTGAAAGCTTTAAGATATGGAGGAAGGGAGAGACAGGGGAAGAGGTGAGGGCCAGTAGGTAGATGGGAGTGGTGGAGGAACTGGATATGACATGGTCCTTAGAGAAGGTTATTGTGGGTCTGCAGCACACCATCCCAAACAGTAATCCATTCCCTGATGTTCCAGGTCCTTCAGAAAAACCTACCAAGTTGATCCTAGCTGATATAACCCAACAAAGTTGTGCTGACTTTTGGCACCATGCCCAGACATCTGGCTGGGAAAGCCAAAGAAGATGCACAGGGAAATGAGGGTTGATAGGGGCAGGCAATGCTGACATGAGTGGCTGACCTGAGATCTGGAGCAGTGGCTGGAACAGCGCTAGGAAGCTCCCGAAGAGACATAATTCTGTCAAGGTGAGGCCAGGGGTCCTTGACCTCTAAATTCACTTCTGTAAAATGAGAAAGTTAGATAACAGCATAGGTAAGGTTCCTTCTAACTCTAATTAGAAAGTACCTCTAGCTGTACCTCTAGCTAGTACCTCTAGCTGAGTTTTTATTTAACTTTAACTTCCTTTCACTAGATATGTTCTGTCTCTAAGTTAACGGATAAATTTGGAAAAACATTTTTGTATCCAAAAATAATGCTTTTGAAAAAAAGTAATGATGTGCTTTTGAAGGAGCCAGTTAATCATAGGCTTTCTTTTGGTTTGGGCTAGAAGTCAACCCTGAGATAAGATTTGAATATAAGCACTTTTCTTCGAAGGTAATTCCACTTTAATCTTGGAAGGTGTGGAAAGTGGGACAGGAAGGGTAGGAAGCAAAGTGTATGTGGTACTATTACCAGGCAAAGGATCTGAAAATACTGTCCCCACATCAGAACCTCTCTCACCAGTTCCAGGGCCAGTCACTTGTCACAAATACAAACAAAAGTCCTTTGGTGAAACAAAAGGGGGGCGGCATTTTAAGTAACAGGATAGAGGGAGAGGGAAAAGATCCAATTACCATGAGGTGGTAAAAGAAACTATAGGCATTGAACTTTTTATACACACATTCTCTCATTTAAGCCTCACAAAAACCCTCTGAGGCAAGCATTGCATGTTTCCTATTTTGCAGATGAGAAAACTAGGGTGCAGAACAGTTAGTTACTTATTCAGTTGGAGGATCCGACTGAAAATTGGTTATACTGCCTCTGCATTGTTCATTGCCATTCAGTATAAATTATATATGTATAAAAGCATTTAATTGAATAAGATCATCAAAATTACCCATATGTAAGTATACTAATATTGGCAAGATTTTCTCATCTGACCCTCCAATTACAGCACTTTTTAAAATGAATAGACTCAATCTGTGTGACTTCAAGATGAGTCTCTCACCTGCCTTTCCCCACCCCACCACCACCATGGTGGGAGAGCTTCCTAAGACCAGAATGACTTCCATGATGGGTCTTAATTTTCAGCTTCTGCATTTGTTATGATCTTTTCTGACTCACCCTTGACTTACTACTTTGTAGGAGCACATCCTGTAGCAGTTATTCAAGTTTCTAAGTATGGCCTATGACAGTGGTCCCTACATCCCCTGTATGATGTCATTCTGTGCCCCTGGTCATCATGATGGATGGATGACCTGGGGAGACACCAGACCTAAATTGGGCTAGTAAAGGTTTTCTTCCCAGGAACATTAAGCTGGAAACTAAAAGACATGTCCCACATATTGAGGTTGTAGGAATGGGGTCATGTTCCCAACAGAGCTCTGGAAAGGAGTTTTCTGACCTCTTGTGGACTCTGACGTCTGTGTGATTTTCCAGAGCCTCAGTGGCTCATATGTTCTGCTAATTCTCTAATGTCCCAGTATTATTTTAATAAATCCCACCTTTGACTTAAGCTTGTCGGAGTTTGTTTCTTCTGCTTGTTTTGGGTTTGATGTTCTCTTTGTTTTGTTTTACTTTCATTTTTCAGCTAGACCTACCCCTAATTTTACTTATTTATTTTTCAAAAGACATTTTTTAAATTGGGTAACAATATTTTACATCACTGTATGTTATTTAGGAGTACACACCTCTTCAGTACACACCCATCACCAAAGCAGAATCCTTTTCTGATGCTTGTAAATACAGGAATCAAATCAGCACTTTCACAAGAGTCAAAGTCTCATTAGAGATAAAACCATCAACAAGGTGACACCCAATCTCAGGAAGTTTTTACCCCAGCGGGAGGGAAGACATACACACCAATACTCATCTCAGGAGGGCAAAGGACAGAGTGGGATCACAGAGGTACAATGGGTTGACTGCAGGGACTGAGGAATGCTTGTGTAAAGGGCGTTCCAGATGGATCTTGAGTTTGGTAGAGAGCTGGAGGGTGACATACCCTGTGCATAGCACTATAACTAAAGGTGCAGAGTGCAGACAGGGGAAAGGGAAGAGGTATTTGGCCACAGTGCAGAATGGGACAAAAGCCTGAACAATGACTTGGGAACAGATGCTTTCCCAGTGAGATTCTTTGTAGCCTGTCTAATAACACAATCTGCAAACAAAAACATAGCCTTGTATACTACGGATGTGTTTTTCATCTTAGTATTTTCTTCTATTTCCTTGCCATCAATCATCTATAGACATTCCATATTATTCCTTCATGATAGAGATGAGATCATAGAAAGCAGAGAAGGCAACAGCCAAATCTTAGCTGCTGAGTTTCCAGACATCAGCCTTCAGGGAAGGTCAGTGGTTAAAATACCAAATATAAATGCTGCAGACAGACACACACATGTAGAGCGTACTCGTCCAATACATAATCCCAGTAAGAGGTAATGAGATACCACTCAAGGAATGGGGACTTGATTTTAAAAAGAAACTGTTGCAGCAGCTGGCTATAGCTTGGTGCTAATCCAGGGGTCTTGGTTACAGGCCAGCTTATTAGTCACCAACATGGAGCAGGCCAGCCATCAAGGTTTGCAAGATTTCCAGGGAACACACTCCTAACATTAAAAGTGAGACACTAACTATTGTGTATCCTGTACCTTCAGGAAAACTCCATTTCTCTGATTCCCTCTTTCTTGAAAGGCCTCTTGCCCTCTTAATCCTCAGGTCCTTCAAATCCAGTGACCCACACACACATCCACCTTTAACCATGCTTTATTCATGACCAAACCAGGGACGTTTCAGGCAAACTTGCTTCTAATGCCTATGCCTGCCCCCCCATAACCCATAACTATTTCTGCTAGCTATTCTCCATTCTTATTTTATTGATTTTCCAATGATTTCTATTGACCTTCCATTGATTTTCCACTGTTCCCTGCTCTACTCTGTGGCTGAAGGTGGACCTACCCAGTGTGTCTCTGGCTGTTGTTTAAGTTCACCAAATGGGGGAGTCAGGAGACTACCAGAGGATAGGAAGAATTGTTGTTGATACATGAGAAAAGCCTCTACCATCCAACATATTGCTATGAAAATTATTGTAAAACTGACTCTGAGAAATGCATGCTAGGTTAAAGTTAAAATAATGTCAATATTGTAAAGGAATCTTCAAAAGATTTTAAATAAATCAAGAAAGTGGAATTTATGCAATGGTTCTCAAGTGGAGGGGATTTTGTATCCAGGATACATTTGCCAGTGTGTGGAGACATTTTTGGTCGTTCTAACTGGGGGATGCTATTGACATCCACTGACCAGAGTCCAGCGAGGCTGCTAAACATCCTACAATGCACAGGACAGCCTCACACAAAAAAGAATTATCTGACCAAAATGTCAGTAGTGCCCACTTGGTGAAAGAGTTCAATTTTGTACCTAGGATCCCAAAACTCCCAGATCAGGGGCACTGAGACTTTCTGTTACACGGAGTCCCTTGTTTGACAAAAGTCAAATATGTACATGGCGGTGCTCACCCTGTGTGTTGTCTTCCTGTATGTTGTTCCTCACCCTGTGTGTTGGAGGCAGCTCCTTCCTGTACCAGGAAGGGGCCACTTTATCAGCATCCTCTTGGATAATATATTTTTTTTAATGTTTACAAAATAACTGGAAGGGTAAGAAATGAGAGTACATTTGAGATAATATCTGCTGATGTCAATTTGTTCTTGGAACTCATGACCAGAATTACAGCTCTGAAGAATAGGGCTGTGTTCCAGGTACCAGTGTACAAGCATGGACATTGAGCACCCACCTCGCCAGTTATAACATATTGTTTTATGCGTTGTCCTTGTCAGAGGTCAGGTTCTGTCCTCATTCCCTGGTTAGATACTGTGGCATAGGCCTTGCCCCCTAAGAGGTGGGCTTACCATTTCATCTCCTTAAAATTATCTTACTTATATGCATTTAATGCCTACTTATAGGAGCATTTCAGAGTGTTTCTCCCCCTCCAATTGATCCTTATTAGTTTTCACATTTCTGGCAGGAAATACATTAGTAAGAGCTAAGTCAAATTCATTTTTTTAAAAGAAATTCACTGATTTACTCATCTGTTCATTCATTGATTCGTGCCTTACTCAGATTCCCCTAACTATAGTGAGTAGAATCGCCCAGAATCATTATACATCTGATACACCTTGTGCTAACCTTAAACTTACAAAAATAAAACAACAGCTCACGATCTAGACAGCTGAGATAAAATTCTTTTATACACTGTTGCATGTCCTATGACTTAGCAATTCCAATTTTCAGGTACTATATAGGTAATATCTACATTTGTGTGCAAAGATGCTGTTACAGAACATTTATTGTAGCATTGTTGCGCTGGAAGCAAATCAGAAACAAGTCAAATGTCCATCACAATAATTGGGAAAGGAAAGGTGGTATAAGCATATCATGGAATTGTGAGCAACAGTTCATGGGAAGGATCAAGTTCTAAGGCAAAGTGGTAGTATTCAGAAGGGAAGGCTCCTCTCTACTTGGGTACATCAAGAAAGACATCAGACCTTTTTAATTAGATACGGTGCAGGAGACATGCATGGGTCAGTAGAACACAGCAGATTTGGGGAGAGTGAAATATTCTGTATGATACTATAACATTTCCAATCTGCCAGTATACTTCTGTCCAAACCCACAGAATATAAACCACCAAAAAAATGTAGCCTTAAGAACACATAAATTTTGGGTGACTATGCTATGTCTATGATTTCTTGTTTAAAAATGTATCATATTGGTGAATGATGTTCATGATGGTAGAGGCTGTATGTGTGTGGGTGTGGAGTATAAAGGAATCTCTGTACATTCCTCTCGCTTTTGTTATAAACATAAACTGCATTAATTTTTTTCAGAAAAAAAAAAAGATAGAAAGACATCGGAGAGAAAGGATGTGTGAACTGGATCTTTAAAGTCTGTAGGAGGAGCCTGACAGGTGTAGGTGAGGGGGGATTATTACATGCAGGGGCAGAGCAAACCTGCAGAGCTATAAGCCCCACTTGGAGCATTTTCACATGACTGGTTCATTAGTAGAAAGATGTGGAATGGGGGTGGGGGAGTGTGACACTGAAGGAGGCAGACTCATCTGGGATATAAGGCTGCACCAGAAAATGAATGTTTTTATATATCTTCCTGGGGACTTTTGAATTTTCTCCTATATGCAATGAAAATGAGGGGTAACATGACCAGATGTTGAGTTCAGAAATATCAGTCAAGTAAGAATGATTTTTTCTCTCCAGAGGCTACAGAGGACAGATGTGTCCATTGCCCAGCTCACCTCTGGGATTACATCAAACCATCACATGCCCAAGTCATCTGACTGCCTAGCACATATGGATCCCCAATAATTATTTTATAGCGTTTTCAAACATAAAGGAAAGTATAAAGTATAATAAAACATATGCCCAATATCCTGATTGTAATATGTTAAAATGCAGCATACACATGGAAGAGCTCACAAATCTAAGAGTAAGTTTGATGCATATTTACAAAGAAAACATTATTAACAACAATAGAAATCAAGACATGAAATATGACTAGCACTCTAGGGGGTCCCTCATGATCTCCCCCAGAAACCACATTCCTGAAAGGCAACACTACACTGACTTTGTCTGGAAATGATTTTTGAGTATAATGAAGTAAGGATCAAAGTTTTTTTTTTTCTTGTTGCCATCAGGTTGGTCCATGGAAAGGCCACTGTTCTCCCCTCTGTGTTGCTTTTTTTAAATGCTTTTCTGAATTTGATTAACTACCATTTTTGCCTAGATTTTAAAAATCTTTTCCCTTAAGGTGTACTAGATCTGTAATTTTCTTTCCTTGTCATGGTTTTATTAACCTTACAAAATTGTTTGGGTAGCTATCTCATCTTCTTAAATTCTAATATAATTGTAGTTTTCACAAAATATGGATTCTACTTTGTTATATGGTTTAGCCAATCTCATTTCTAAACTTATTTGGAGCTTAATTATTTTGGGAGGAGAGAGGAGAGATTTTTAATGATTCTCTTTGGTACAGTATTTGGTTAATTCAGGTGTCCAGATTTTTCTTAATATAAGGTTGGTTATTTAGAAATGTTTTAATTGATTATTTCATGTAAAATTTCAAATTTATTAGTAAAGAGTTGATCATATTTTCATATGATTAAAAAATCTCCACTATATTTGTCCATATTTTTTAAAGCAAACATACTTCTAAATCGAGATAAAATTTACATAGAGTAAAACTCATTATGTTAATTGTAGAATTAGTCCATTTTTGATAAATGTACACACATATAAAATCACTACCTTAACCCATAAATTTCTATCAAAATTCTCTTCCAGTCAATCTCCACTCCCTCACAGGCAGCCACTGTCTCACAAAACAGATGTAAACAGTAAACAGATGTTCGCTATTCTTAAACATCCAATCAATGGAATAATACAGCTTGTGCCTTTTTGTGTCTTGTTGCTTTTGTTCAACTTAATGTCTTTGATATTCACCCATGTTGCCCTGTAGATCAGCAATTACTTCTGAGTAGTACCCATTGGATGAATCTACCACAATTCGTCTATCCATTTTCCTGTAAATTAATGTTTAGGTTGTCTCCATTTGCAGCTATCATGAATAAGGCTGCCATAAAAATTTTGTACAAGTCTTCAACTTTTACTGGTTAAATACCCAGGATTTAATTGCTGGAATATAAGGTTAATATATAGAATTTAACCCTATGTAATATTATGATATATGTAACCTAGGAAATTATATAAATCATATACATGTTATAAATTATATATATGAAAGTACAAGGTTATATGCTCAATTTAATGAGTAGTGTCCAAAACATCTTCCAAAATGTTGTAATATTTTATATTTTCTGATGGTGTGAGAGTCTCAGTGTTCCATATCTTCTTCAAAATTTGATGCTGGCAGTCTTTTTAATTTTACGCAATTTAGTAATCTGAAATGGTTTCTTACTGCAATTTTAATTTGCACTTACCTGTGACTAATTATATTGAGTGCTTTTTCACAAGCATATAGGTCATTAATAATAATAACCTAGTTTTTGAAGTGTCCTAACAGTCTTGTGCCAGTTTTTCCAGTTTTTTTGTAAGAGTTCTACATGTATTTGGAATTCAAGTCCTTTGTTAGGCATATATATTGCACATCTAATCTGTGGTGACTTACCTCTTCATTTTCTTAACCATGTATTTTTTTGAGGAGGAGTTTTGTTTTTATTTTGGTGGATCAGATTTATCAATTATTTTTAGATTTGTGTATTCTATTTCCTTTGTAAGAAGTCATAATTTGCTCACCCCAAATTCATGGAGGTATTTTCCTATACTTCCTTATAGGATTTTTATACTTTTGGTTTGTACACTTAGGTCAATGATTTTTTTAATTAATTTTTGTGTGGAGTTTAAGGTTTATTTTCCATACATTTATCTATTTGTTCCAAGGTCATTTGTAGAAATTATTCATTATTCTACCCAATGAAGTCTTGGTACCTTTGTTGAAAAGTATTGACTATCTATGTTCTGGTACATTTCTGAGTTTCTGTTCTATTTGTTTTCAGCTCATCTCTAGAATCACAATAGCAAGACAAGGATTATAATAATCACCTATTGGCCTAGCTTTGTGCTAGGTATTTATGTTTTATGCTAATTAATACATGATATCAAGTAATCCCCTCAGAAACAGTGGGAAGAAGGTTAAATAATCCTATTTTACTGATGAGGAAACTGACACCCAAAATCGCTAAGTAACTTGTCCAAGGTCACACAGCTGACAAGTGTTGAAACCAGGATTTGTTTTCAAAGGCCCACAGCTTCTACATTAATTTGACTTCTGGTTGTTGTTCTGCCATTAAACTAGTGATGGAATGATGAATAACTGAATTTGTTTCTTGGGTCTCAGTTTCTTCTGTGGGTTGGACTAGAAGATCTCCAATTATTTTTCTTCTGCTAATATTTCAGGATTATTAAAGTCAGATTTAATTTTCACTATCCTTAATTTCATTATCTTTGTGGTTCCTTGAAACCACAGGGGCCTGTCTTTGACATGCCTTCTGAAAGTGTTATGGAGCAACTCTAGGAGGTTGGGGACTGGGTACATGTATCAAACTCCTATGGTTTGGTACCTAACCTATGAGCCAATCTATGTCCAACTTCTTTTCTGCTGCAAATATTAATGTACTTCAGACACAAAAATGACTAAAATATAAAATATCTATATGCAGTCATTTTAAAGAAGGTAATCATGCACACGTTGACCTTTAAATGGAAATGAGAATGACTGAAAAGCCTAAACCTAGTCACACTGGACATGTACTCCCAAACATTCTGGTTCCTATGTAGTTCATGTTCTGGACTGATGTGGATTCCTGAAGTGGGAGCTAATACCCATGTTGCCAGGGGAAGAAAAGAAGAGCTCTTAAAGATAGGGAGTTTAATGAAGAAGGCTAAAGAAAAGTTAAAATTAGAAGTCTAGTATAGGAACTAGAGAGAGGTGATGGTTGCATAATAGTGTGAATTACTAACACCACTGGATCATACACGATCTAACGGTTAAAATGAGGGTGGGGATGTCCGTTTATATACTTAGGTGCTATCTGCCTAAAAAAATTTGATTCTAATGTTCTCTATTCATTTGCTATTAAATTTTTGAAAAAGAGATTAGATTGTGGTCTACAGAGTAAAAACATTCCAGTGTGTGAAAACCATAGACAATTTGGGTTCCATGCAAAGGACACTGTTTTAACCTCTGAGGTGTCTAAAAGTAAAACAGGCTTTCCTGTTTCCCAGTGAATGCTCCTCAGTGAATTCTAGCACATACTATAAATGCTCATGGGATTGAGAATTGGCTGATAGCCTAGTGGGCTGGGATGAGCCCAAGGCTTTGCCAACGCCAACTTTCATGTTCCTTCTCATTTGAAAATTGTCTAGGCCTTTCACCTTACCCATAAAAAACTTCTTTACATAGATAAGACATGTAAAGCAAAGAAGACTTTGCTTGAGCACACTGGGGTTGCACCTCTGATGCTAGGGTATTATAAGTTTGAAGATAGTTTTAGAACTACTAGGAGGGACAAATATTCCTAATAAGAATGATTATTGCCATTTTCTCCAGTAACTTTCGTTGCAACTGCCCCAAACTTTGTGGTATAAATTGATAGCCATGGTTCTGTGGGTCAGGAACTGAGGAAAGAGATAGCAGAGATGACTCGTTTCTGCTCCATGATGTCTGGGCCTGCAGATTGGAACTGTCTTGGGATGACTCAGTGGAAGGGAACAGGGTGGCTAGGATCATGTAGGGACACCTTACTCACACATCTGCTGCTCTGACAGGGATTGTTGACAGGAAAGCCTGCAACTGGCTGTTCTATATGGCCTGGGTTCCTCACACTGTGGCATCCTCAGTTCAGTTGGGCTCCAAAAGGGAGTGATTCAGCACATAAGGTAGAGGTTGTATCATCTTTTATGACCTAGTCTCAGAAATCTCACAGCATCACTTTGTGGCTGCATCCTATTGGTGACAAGTGAGTCATAAACCCCAGGAGTCAAGGGGAGGAAATTTAAACCTCTTCCTTCAATGGGAGATTGACAAGGTCATAATGGAGAAAAACACGCAAGAGAGAAGATACTTTCAAAGCCACCTTTAGAAATGGAGGTGACTTTTCCAGGCTAAAATAATCCATATTTCCCATACTGTTAAAACAAAAATCCTATAGTATAATCAGTTAAAACTTACAACTCCCAAAATTCTAATTCTCTTCCTCCCACCATCCTGAAGCTATTTGATTTTCTGCCCTCCTCATTATAGACAGCACTAGTATGTAAGTTAATTTTCTTTTTTTCTATGATCACTTTTATGTAATTTCAACTCAAACCATGTCACTTTTTTCTCCCCTTTCTTATTCCCTTTCTTTCTCCCTACCTCTTCTGTTCCTCTCTTTATTCCATTCACTAGTAGAGAGAGAAAAAGCTCTCAACTCTTAGAATGAATGATTAAAAATCAGCTACGGACCCAAGAAGGAAAAGGAAGCTGGATATTTTGACATGTGCTAAGATATAATAAGGAGACAGCCTTGGAAGTCCTTCAGGTCCTGTTCAGAATCCATGACATCTGCTCTCTGTTTTTTCTAGGAAAGTCAGATTTTACTCAAGTACATTGTTTTATCATATTTTATTTCAATTATATTATAGCTTAAATAAGTTTTCATGGGATATAGTAGGTGCTTCAAGTTATTACTAGTAACTAACAAATGTGTGGTGTCCTGTGTGATGTTTCTGAGCTACAAGCATTGGACAGCAACTTACCACTTGCTTAACCAGCTGGCCAACAGGATTTCAGGATAAGAAAGTTCAGAGATGGAAGAAGCCAGCCTCACTCTGGCTTATGTGTTATGTGGCCAAGGTATCTGAGCTGTCTCTGCCTCTCAGCCTGTATGCACCTCTCCTTCCACATATCACCCAGGTCTGCAGGGAAATCTGAAAAGGGAGATGTCTGAGTTATAACAGACTAATGAAATTTTACTTCTCAAGGCCCTTCTGGAACAAATTGTAAAATCCCATCAGATTTCTGAGGACCAAAAGTTATAGACCTCCACACTAACCCCAAATAAATCTCTGCACCTCAGCCAGGACTCACTGGACTGGGGATAATAATTGATAGAGGGGAAGGTTAAAGTATAGAATGAATCCCATAATATGATTTTTCAGCTTCACTGAGATATAATTAACATTGTATATGTTTAATGTTTATAAAGTGATGATTTAGTACATGTATATATATATAGCTAAAATGACTTCCACAATAAGGTTAGTCATCCATCACCTCACATCCATCACTTCACATAGTTACAATTATTTTTGTGCAAGATGAGAACATATAAGATCTGTTCTCCTAGGAAATTTCAAGTATGTAACACAGGATTGTTAACCATGATCGTATTAAATTTCCAGAAGTTATTCATCTGATAGCTGAAAGTTTATACCCTATAACCATCATCTCCCCATTTCCTCTACCTCTCAGCTACTGGCAACCATCATTCTACTCTTTCTTCTGTGAGTTTGGCTTGCATTTTATTTATTTATTTTTTTAAGATTCCACTCATAAGTGAGAACATACAGCATCTTCCCCTGTCAGGCTTATTCTACTTAGCGTAATGCCCTCAAAGTTTATTCTGTTGCTGCAAAAGAATGGGTTTCCTTCTGTGTTATGGTTGAGTAATATTCCTGTATGTGTGTGTGTGTGTGTACACCCATTCCTCTGACAATGGACATGTATTTTCATATGTTGGCTGTTGTGAAAAATGCTGCAATGAACACAAGGATGAAGCCATCTCTTCAAGGTAGTGGCTCCATTTCATTTTATATCTACCCAGAAATAAGATTTCTGGATGATATGGTAGTTCTATTTTTAATCTTCTGAGGAATCCCCAATCTGTTTTCCATAGTGACTGTAACAAGCTACATTCCCACCAACAGTATACAGGAGTTCTCTTTTCTCCACAATAAAATCAGCCCTCATGCATAAGTACTTACTAAGTTAAATACACTGGTTATTGGATGTAACCCAAAAGCAACTACAACACTCACTGACACCATTATTGATTCATGCAAATGATGTATGGCTGTTGTGAAACTATAGAAAAAGAAGAAAACAATTGTTCCTGGCATATTGCCACAGAAAATCTAATCGTTTGCCAATGAAAAACTGTGGAATGACTGGATTTATTTCTTCAAGATTGCATAGGACCTTGAACTTAGAGTTACAAGGAAAAACAGAAACAGTATTAAAATCTCATCTAACAAAGCCCCCCATTTTGATGTCTATGTGGCATCAGGGAAAGTGCCTATACTCCAATGAAGCGAAGCAGTCTGTAGTTCCAAAAAAGCCAAGAATTAGAACATCAGTATTTCTCATCTTCATATTGTGCAGTGAAATCAGTGATCAGTCTTGCTTGCTTCTTCATTAGTAGACATACATGCCCTGTTCTTCTGCATGTGCCTGCACATCAGCGGCCTCCCTGTACCACATATTACCCTGTGTATTGCTGGCACTTCCAAAGAGAGTCCCTATGGAGACTACTTTAAATATTGCTCTATTCCCAACAGGTTTTTTTTTTTTTTATCAAAGTCTCATTTGTACAAGGGAATAATTTTCTAGTTAGAAAGCAATAGACAAAAGTTACATTTATTTTAAAGAAAAAAATTGTCAGCATTAGCAGGCTTAGAGTCTCCTGCTGGGATGTTAGGCTACTGAATTATTCTCCTCCAAGCTATTTGCAGACCCATTAATTGAGAAATTAGAAAAATAAGGGTACATACACTGATGTAATTAAACTGCCCATTTCGCCTTCCTTCACTAAAGCAGTTTCCAGGGACGTTAATTGGCAGGAGAGTTTCTCGGTGCCTGGTAGATCTTGATAAGTTGTATATTCAAAAGAACTGTTCCCACCCTTTAGCTGTCAGGGGACTTTTTTTTTAAAACAGACAGCACTTTGAAGAGTTCATTACAAATCTAAGGAATATTTCTGTTTGGTGTGCCTCTGGTCATATTGGATGCTAATGGCCCTTTCCTGCCATTAAATGATAAAAACTTCCTATTGGGTTTTCTGTTTGCCTGGGGCTGGGGGAGGGGTCTTTCCTGAGAGCAGTCACCAGATTGCTGCTTTGTTTTCAGTAAGTCATTAATTTCCTTGCTATTTTGCTTTATAAGGAAACTCTATTTGATTTCTGTGTCTGCAGTTCTCCTCCCAGTCCGGTGCCTGCCGTTCATCACCCTCAGGGGTCCTGAAGTGTCTGCAGATGCACTGCTCTTTTGATAAGGATTCTGGGGAAAATGACCATCCACGTCGATGTCTTCTGTGTCTTTTTCAATCCTGATTCATTCCTCTAAGTGGTTGATTTTCCCTTTTCTCCTGACATTTACTTCTCTCTTTTTTTTTTTAAAAGATTATTTATTTATTTATTTGTTTGTTTGTTTGTTTGTTTGTTTGTTTATTTATTTATTTATTTATTTATTTATACAAGCACGGGTACAGTCAGAATCCCGTGAGGGTGAGAGAATTCACCAGAACCAGAGCGGGGAGCAGAGCAGGCAGAAGGACCGAAGTACACTGCTGAGGGAGCAGCAGCGGGCGGCAGGAGAGGTCTGCGCGCCATGCGGGACCCTCCTCTGGTGGCCGGGGAGAAGCCGGGGATCAAACCGGTGCTGCAAAGGCTGCGGGCAGCTTTGCAACCCAGCGCTCAACCACTGCGCCACCGGGGAGGCCCTACTTCTCTTTTTTAAATTGCACTTTTTTTATTGAGGCAATGTTGGTTTATAGCAATCAACATTAGGGGTATGGGAGCACACCTCTAAATAACTGAATTTTTTTCCTTTTTTTAATGTATTTATTTCTAACTGAGGTAATACTGAGATATCCCCATCAGGTATTACCATCATAGTGCAGCACCGGCCACCTGCTCACCCATATTCCACCACCACAGACCATTGTGCCTCCTTCCCCTGCTGCCACATCCCCTAGTGTTTCTGTTCTGTTGTCAGCTATCAAGGTTTAGTTTTTTCAGCTTGTCTTTATCTATTAATTTGGTTATTTTATATTCCACATATTAATGATACCATCTGGCTAAGTGAAATAAGTCAGAAGGAGAAAGATTAATGGAGGATTAATACTGGATGGTGTCACTGACTTTTATTTCTGAGGAAGAAAATATATCTATGCTTTCCCTTAGGAAAGAAAAAAGATAAAATGACACAGACAAAGAGAGAATGTGCTTAGTACAGTTTTTAAACAACCAGCAATGATGACTTGCAACAGTCTTTTTAAAATTTTTTAGGTTGACAGTTTATAACAACCATTTACTTGTCCCAGGTTTTCTGGACCAGGCTCAATTTCAAATATTCTTTTCTGCTGTTGTCTCCAGATAAATGTATCACAAATGAGAATGGAAAAAAACCTCCCTTATTAATGAATATACCCTTATTGTTAGGTTTAAAATATATAACCAAGATGAGCATCCAAGGAAGCATGAATAAAGGTTAGTGTTAAAATTAAAAAACAAAGGAGGCAAATATGTGGCATACTTGTTTATATGCATGTGCACACAAACCCTTGTCATCTTTCTGCATGGTAGAGATAAATAACAAGCGAGTCAATAAATAAGTATAATTAGGGGCATTGTCAAATTAAAAAGAAAAAAATGCAAGCTTTGGAACCAAGCAGATCTGGGTTGGAATCCTGGGGCTGTGGGTTGGAAAACTGCATTGAAATCTTGCCTAACATTTAGGAATATGCTGCCACTTAACATGCCTGAACCTCAACTGCCACATCTTAAATGATAATAACCTTTACCTGATAAAATAATTGTTGGAATAAAAAGAGTTAAGATCCATAGCTCTGTGCCTAAT